GCCTGAAGTAACAGAAACTTCTAGAGAAACTGCTTAAAAGCTATGTAGGCATAGTAATAGACTCATCCATTTTGCGTAAGGTGTGGTCAAAAGTGACCACATCCTCGTCTAAAAATAGTATATCCGCTAGCTCTGGTAAGCAGAAAGAAAATCTCATTAAAGCGGGGGCGCTTCACACTCCTACTCCTTCTTTACCCACATTATGGACTCCTGATGATAGTGCATATAATGTACATGTATGTGAGAATTTATGAATGTATGACGTGTGTATGTGACGTGTATCTATAATGTGCATGTTATGTGTGTGTGAGTATTATCATGTATCTGTGTGTGTGTGTGATGTTTGTATATGTACATGTATCTATACATAAGCTAATGTGACATGAGTGTGTGTGTGTGTAGGTTCATGTTGTTTATTATCATTTTTAATAAAGTTCTGTATCACACGAGTCACAAATTACCCACATACAATGTTCCACGAGTTTTGTATAATTATTCATTAACAATGAATCATAACTGACATGTACCAGAATAGATTAGTAATCTTGAAATAAGGAGACCCCCTGGACCTCTCCTTCATGTGTACAGGTGTGGTGTGTGTGATGGTGTGTATATCCATACATGAGTGTATCTGTGTGTGAGTGTGTGTATCATGTGATAGTGATGTGTGTCTATGCATGATGTGTATGTATAAATAAACAATATTCTCCACACATATACACATACATATGTATGATGAATGTGTATAATGTATGTGTGTGTATGTGGTAAGTAAGTGTTTGTACATTATTATTAGATCAATGGATATCTCCTGTTGTTACTGGAGACAGACCACCTCCTATTAATGACTTCACTCTAACACCAGTTACTAATAACACTGCGGTAATGTTTGGAGGTGAGACTGATAATGGAGTCAGTAATAAACTGTATATGATAAGTTTCACTGAGACGTCAGTGGTGAGTTAATACTGTAGAATGGGTTTTGATTGTGGGATGTTGTAAATTGTGGGTTCCAAATTTAATTACAATTAAAAGAATTGTATTTCATCAAAACTGCATTGAAGTGGCTTGACATGTACATGTAGATGTAAATACCAGTCATTTACATGTACTTTGTCATTTGATGCACTATTTAAATACAGTCTACAATAATTCATATTTATTAATTTGTTTTTATTTTGATTTTATTATTCTCTCAGGATATATTAGAAGTACCTAATCCTGGAGGATCAGTACAATGGCCTGAGGGAAGATGGAGTCATTCCAGTGTACTGATTACCACTTGTTCAGGACCACACTTACTAGTGGTGGGTGGAGATTATGCCTATGATGTATGGTTACTGGACATTAACAAAAGAAAATGGAAAGAACTGGTAAGTATTATATTATGATGCTTGATAATGAAACATAAAGTGATTAACTAAATTTGTAACTCATGAGGTTTGTAATGTACATGTACATATTATGATACTCAGTGAAAACTACTGATGAATAATGCTGGTATTCAGTATGTGTGTGTGTCTGGTTTTAGTGTGAATGTGTGTTTGTGTCTTTTTGTGTTTTGTGTTTGTTTCTTTACCTAAATATGTATGAATATACATGTGTCTGTCTGTGTGTGTTTAAGATGATGAGTGTCAATGCTGGAATTATAATAAATTGTATTTTATATACATTGTGTACACTGTGTATGTATATACATGTAATTGTGTTTATGTGTGCATATGTTTTAATATGTGTATGTGTGTACTAACACGTACATCATGTGTACATGTAACATGTACATGTGTGTGTATGTGTGTGAGCAATTATGCATGCTTTACATGTAGCTTTATATGTGTATGCATGTATAGATGTACATGTATGTGTGTTAGTGTGTCATCAGTATGTGTATGTGTATGTGTGTAGATGCAGACACTTAGTAAGTTCTTAATTGAGGACTCACATGATATAATAACAAACTCAGTTGTGTATACTTGTCTATTAATATATTGTGTATTCTTAATTTTATTATGTCATCTTTGTGTTACATAAACACACTGTGCAGACTATAAAACTGAGTTAGTTATTGTGTTTATTAACCAGATTTCAAATCAATTAATATGTCATGCACAAATTAATTATTATCATTTGAATATTATAGATTAATCTACCAAATAATGTCACTAGGAGATACTGGCATTCTCTCTCAGTGTGGAGTGTGACCCCAACTACTAACTGGATAATTGAGTTTGGAGGATTGACAGAATACACTGATACAGCAGTTATTGAACTCAGTAAGTACATGTAGACAGTAGTAGATACAATGTGTATTGAATATGTAATGATAATTAGTAATGATAATATTACAATAAAGTAAGTAATTCTTATGATGAATATTTAATGAGAGCATTTGACGTATACCTATGATACTAATTATTACCAATTCATTCCTGCTATGTACAATAGTGAAATATAATGACTGCAGAACAGAAACACTGATATTAATAGGAGCTAGAGTGAATGAAAAATTATTATCAGTGTATTTATATACAATAATATGTTCATGTGGTTAACTGTGTAAACTGACAGAGGTCACACATACAATGATTAAACATGAATCCATCAATAATAAGGTTACCTTAGTCACTCACTGTAATTAATTTGTGTATTTCTTATTCTCCACTATTTTGTTACTGTATAGGATATACTAGTGATATTGATTGGTCTACTAGTGTAATACCTCTGGACCAGTATCAAGATCAACTAAGAAGATGGATACTGAGTGATTGGGAGAATTTAGGATTAAGCAAAGAGGTTCAATTACTCAGAGGGCACCTACAAGACAGAAAAAGAGAATTCTTTGAGGAACAGCTTCAAAGAGAAATAAAAGAGAAGGAGCAGATACAACAAGATCGAGACAAAGAGCAGCAACAGCTTCTTCAAGAAAAGGCAACACTTAGTCAACAACTTGATGATGCTACCACTCTCCTTGAGCAAGCAGAAAAGGATAAATCAAGTCTTGAGTTAGGTACTATTGTGTTGTACTGTTGTTTATGTGTACATTGTTTACATTATAATACTAGTGGATTAGACAATGTTGAGTTTGGAAATAGTATCCTGTACTCAATATAGGTCAAATTGTCCATGCATTAGAAATAATGAGATTGATGTAGAGTGAGCTCTGCTTACCATATATGGTATCATTAGCAATAATCATATTATATGTATTTATGGGCTACTTTACATGCAGTGAAAATTAGTTTAAGCAAAAAATATCATTTTATTTTGTATTTTATTGATAATAGAATATAATGAGAAACTTAATGCTAAAGTTGCTGAAATATTGGAAGAGAAGACACAAGTAGAGGAGAAGAAACAGATTATTACTGGTTAGTTTATCATCAGTACATAATATTAGATGAGGGAATATTCTATTAATGTAGAAGATTATGAGAAACTGAAACTCAAAGTAGCTCATATGGAGGAACAATATCTCAAGGAGAAACATATCATTATTGGTTAGTTAACTATACACACAGCATGTATTAGATGAGAGGATATGTTTATTTTGTAGACGACAATCAAAATCTCAAAAGTGATATTTCTGAGAAAGACAAAGTTATAGCCAAACTGACATCACAAGTAGAGGAACAATCACAGAATGAGAAACAGATCATTACTGGTTAGTGTATCATCATCAATCAATAATAATTATTAATATTCTATTAATTTATAGACCTTAAAGAAAAGGACTTGCACATAGCTAAACTAGTGAAGGAAAGACAAGAGAGGGTCCTCAAGCAACCTATCAAAGAGACTAGTTCCATTGGACTACAATTCAATTACTTAGAGGAGCAATTACAGACAAGTATGATAAATTATTGTAAATAAACTACTAAATAATTTATTATTGTTATGCACTATAGAAAATTCAAAACAAGACACTCCATTTTCAAGATTCTTAATTCTAATTTATTTACTATTCATTTCTTTTGTGCTATCTACGAATTACAACTCAAAGCAATTTATTGGTAAGATCTAAAACAATAGAACAGTAGAATAAGTGTAATTATTATGTGTATTTTCTAGCTCCATTGCCAGGTGTGGAGATTATTGCTTCTACCAATCTATTAGTAGCTGGTGGTAGTCACACTCAGTTACACTGGGAGGAATATGGTCTTATACTTGATGTTCCACCTAATGCTCTTCCTCGTGG